ACGAGGCGCCTGGGGGCCCAAGAGATTCAAACATCTTCCGACGACCTCGACCCTCGAACCTCGATCCTCATCCTCCTTGGGCCTCCCCGGGAACACTATAGTCTTTAACTTCCCAAGAGCCCCCGAACGCATTTCACCGAAGACCCAGGCCCTAAACAGAAGAGGGTGGTGAGTCTGGATATCAACAGTGTTCGGTGTCCAAGTCCTCGGCTGCGGCGTCCAACTCCCTAAACTTCTGCGCCGAAAAGGTCGATTTCAAAACATGCTTCCATGGGAGCACCTGTTGAATGCACATTGCAATTTGTCCCCATCGCCAGTCTATGAACATGGGGAAGAACGTCGTCTCAAGCTTTGCTGCAAAATGAGCATAGGCAGGTACCTTTCGGATGCAGGTGTCCACGTATCGCACCCTGTAGTGTTTGTAATGAAGCAATGTTAAGACCGATTTCAAGCCTGTCAGAAACATATCAAAATGCCGCAACTTCGAGTCCATGAACCATGACAAATTGTGCAAAATATGCAGCATGCCCGATACTGCCAACGCTGGTCCGAAAGTTCTCTCTCCGAGTACTCCCTGAGGCGCAACGCTTTCATAGTTGACAATGTGGCTCTCGAACCCGAGATCGGGGCGCAACTGATCATCCGAACCCCGCCCTTGGTCCAACAGCCAGGGTTGTAGGACGTCTGCCAATCTGTACGTTTCGAAATCTGCCAACCCCAACTCTGTGCCCATATCCGTCGTGAAACTTATGATGTTCCTGAGCGCGCTGAGTATACTCATGTGCCTGGGAGGAGATGACATCATCCATAAAATGAATACTACGGCCCTGACTTTATGTTCTAACTTGGCTGCCCCCGACCCCAAGAATTGCGGAAGCAAGATGTGCCGTCTGAATGCGTTGCTCAGTGTTCCCGATAAGCGTGCTCGATTGTGTAAGGCGTCCCGGATGAGGTCTAAGTTCTCTCTGTCGCCCGCCTGGCTCTCTTGAATGGCGGTCTTCAGCACGGGCCCCGATCTAGCAAACTCCGTGGCAACTTTAAACATCTCATCCAAATCAGATTTCGCAACCAATAGAATCTCTGCCAGAAACAACTCACCAATATTTTGTTGAGGAGTTGCGTCGGCCCACATCCACATATATGAATCGTGTAGGGGGCATTGCTTCTGAAAGGAACGCACCAAGGCAGCATCAAAAACTGATTGTGATCGTTGGAGGGTGCTTTTACTTGGCAACTTGTACGTGCTCATCATCTCGACAACATCGCTCGACAATCCCACTGGCAAAACTGATAGAGCTATATCTTTTGCTGATTCTTTAAAGTTATTCCGATTCAGGAGTCTTAGTGACGCAGCAAGACAATTCACTATTTTCAACGCCGAATGTGAAAATCTGCCTCGGGTCGCCGTCGTGGCAAGCTGATTTGGGCGACCGTCGATGCCTGTGTCCCTCGAGCTCTTCATTTTCGCATCGATTGCGTAAAGATAGTGTGCCAGCTTCGTGCTATCAGGGTGCGAGCTGTCAAGGTCACGCAGGATGCGGGGTGCCCACTGCTTCAGAGAACCGTACAATGACTCCAAGAGCTGCGGGATCGTGCCGGGATCGAAATCAGCGGGGGGATGTCGGGGAAAATCAGGCGTCTCCGATCCTCTCCGCAGCTGCTGCATCCAAAGTGGCTCCTCACATACAGGCTTGTCCGAAGACCTGAGAAGAATATGGTTCCACTTTCCATGTAGAATCAGCTCGCACACTGCTAATGGTGCAGCCACCTGCCCCGGACCCCGGACCGCTAACCAACTCGCAATCTATATAGATATACATATAAATGTATGTATTGATTCACTACTCTACTTAACTAAATTTGGTAGTTGTTATCATTGCATCGCCAGTCCCATGTTTTAATAATGCTACGATGTTCACACGGCACCTCTGATGCGAAGGGGGGGGCATCAGACATGCAAGGATGGAAGGAGGGAGGATGAACGAAGGAAGGAGAGCGGAGGGAGGAGGCACGAGGGAGGGGGAGGGAGAGAGGAGGTAGGAACGAGGAGGGGAAACGATGCGGAGGGTGGAAGGAGGAATGCAAAGGAGGAAGCAAAGAGGGCAGATGAGGAGGCTTCACAGATGGATGGAGGATGGGGGTCAGAGTTAGGACGAGGATGAGTAGGTGGATGCAGAGCAAGCGGCCAGCAGCAGCAAGAGGACGACGAGAATAGAGAAGAGGGGAGGGGAAGGGGGGATAGGAGGCGGGCGGGAGGCAGGAGAGAGGAGAGAGGAGGGAAGGCGGAGAGATGAGGAGCGTTGAGGGCCGAGGGAGGGCATCAGCAGGAGGAGCAAAAGTAGGAGGCGATGGAGGTATAAGGATTCACTCTATCAAGACTCTAGGGCTCGGCAGCGCAACATCTTTGAAACAATACTGATTTCCTGGGGCTGGCGATGCAAGCGGGAGCCGTTTTTTGCGACTGTTGTTGTTGTTGTTGTTTAAGATCCGCAGACATTATGGAAGGGGCATTGTCTATCAAGGGGGCCGTCTGGTAGAACGGGCACGATCGCAAACGAGGAAAGTTGCAATCAAGTCATGGGCGTGCACACATATGACGGAGCAAGCAAACATCGGGGACCATCACAAACATATTGTTGTGTTATTTACGCAGCCGCATCTCTGTATCCCTTTATCTCTCTCTCTCTCTGTGCCTTTCTCTGTCCCAAATGTGTTTGGTACCATATATATATATGCTTATATGTCTAACATCTCTTTTTCTACATGAATATACACGTACATATGCGCTTATGTACATGTATTATGTTATCGGTGTCCTCCCTGTTTGCTCTTCATCTGTCTCACGTGTTCTCACTATCCGTCACTCTTAAATATGGGGGTCTGTCTGGGGGCCCATCGCCCTCCCACCACGGGAATCTGTCGGTCATCCGCTGCTCCAGCGACGCCCCACTGCGCCACGACGGTGCGCAAACTTAGAGTTCGCGTCCCTCCCTTTCCCCCTCCTCTCCGATCCTTCCCACCGTCTCCCCCTACCGTGTTTCCCCTCCCCATGGCTAGATTTATGTGTTTCCCAGTCGTTCCTTCCTGTCTTTGGCCCCTTTCCACCCTCCTCCCTCCCCCCCCCGCGTCGGGGGTCATGATCGTTGGCTTGGAGCCTGGACTAGACCGAATGGGAAGGTTGGGAACGCTGAGGCCCGGGCCTTCCCCCCGTGAGCGGTCTCGTGTAGAGTTCAACACCAGGCATAAATAACAGATTGGAGAGATGAAGACGGCGCCCGCGTCGATCCAAATGCATAGTAACAGAATCTTCACACCGGTCAGCCTTCACAACTTTGAGGCTGAAGGCATTGCCAGGATTTTGGAAGGACGACAAGAGCAACGCCTCCTGAGAATTGGGATGAGAAACGACACTGGCCAGATTTTGCCCTGCCTCAACCATCACCAAGCCTAGAACATCGACGCTGCCTTGTGCCCGACGTGAGGCTGTAGCCATAGCGCAGCCGCTGGGTCCATCCAGCAACGACTCAGGTTGTCCCCCAGCAGGGAGATCTCGCAACAAATCGAGCAGCCAACCTTCCTTCGGGATGGTGCATCGAACCCGGCGCTGGACGCCATCCTGCTGCGAGTATGATCTGGAACCTACAACGCACGCGCTCGAAATCACGCACAGAGGGGGCGGCTGATTCTTTTTTCAGGCTGACAAAACAGAAACCGAATAACAAATAATTGCAGATTGAACCCCTGGCCCGCCTACCAAAACAACAGACGAAGAACTGGAGCCAGACTCCTGGGTAAGAGGCCTCCGCCTCCGTATCATGTGCATGCTTTCGACGAGTGAGTCGTTTGATTCCAGGATGTCTGGTACTGCAGTGGAGCCAGGGCGCCAAGGTATATCAACATCAAATACATCGTTGATTCTGGGCCATGACAGGCGACGGAAAGACAGAGGCGATTGCAATTTCAAAACCACTGGCAACGATTGAATGTGGCCCGCTGCGGAAAATGATACAGAACCACGAATCCGGCCAGAACCGATTCTATCCACTCAATGCCCACACATTTCGAGGACTCTCGGGCGACAAATGTCCGACCCAATTCCAGCCGCGGCGACGAGGGCCTCCTCTGAGATTCCGAGAGATGTTAATATTGAAACTGCGGCGCAACGCAAACACAACGACACCCGAACAATACCTCGGGCATTTCCAAATCTGTCCTCGGGGGCCCTGGGGTGGAGAGGCTTGCGGAGAAGGGAACGGAGGGGGGAGCGGGATGATGATAATGAGAGTTGCGCGTTTCTGAAAATAACGAATGCGGAAAGGAGGAAAATTGAACAACGCGTGTGTTTGAGACTAGCATTCGCTATGTTACGCGGGCACCCCACAAAAAAACAATGCTGGAGACGACGTAACTCAGAGGGTGCCCGCAACCATTTAAACACGTATGCTGGGCGACTCTTCGTTCGCATTTTTACACATTGCTTGCATGTTGCTCTCTGGCTGGGTTTGCACCGTGCACTTTTCGGTTCGGCCGAACGGCGGGTGGCAATGACTGCCGCTCGATTGATCCGAACCGCTCGGTTGCCATAGGTTGTCGGTACTGGCGTTGTGATTTCGATTTCTGGCGCACAAGATCGGCGTGTCCAAATGATTCAACTGGGATCTAACGCTTTTTGGGTTTGGGAACCAAGCTGGGCGCCGAAATCTGCGCAGTTGATTCAAACACTGCTGATCTCATCTGGAGCGGCCGAGCCCCCCAAATGAAAGGGCCCCCGTGAACTCCCACACCCCTCGCCCTCCCACCGCGCCTCAGCGCGCCCCATGGGCTCCCCCGCTGGCTCAGGGAGCTTTGGGCCGGGCGCCCGCCTCCAGCCGTTGCAATTTCTTCGACGAAGATCAGAGCGTGAATTACCTACCCCGTTTTCGCTTCCAGGCAAAACCAAGTCATACCACGCGCCTCCTCGTCAAGCGGCCTGACCAGTACAGGCCGTAGTTTGGCATCGCATGGTATCCCTTGGAAGCGAGGGTGGTCAAAAGCGAGGTAGGTTTGTTTGCCCCCTAGAAGAAAAAACATATAAACTTACTTTCGGCGCTCCGCGCGGATTTCTTGGATCCGCGCCTGGGCTTCCCAGCGGCGCCTCCGGCGCCGCCCCTGGCGCGCTCCGCGCGTCCGGAAGGGGGTCCAGCGCGAATCCAAGAAATCCGCGCGGAGCGCCAACAGTTTATGTGTTTGTGTTTTTTTCGTTGTTCTTCTTCTATTTCTGGCACACTCGCCGCGATGTGGACCACATCTCGCCTGAGCCCTTTCGCGCTGCTCTTCGCTGCAGCCCTCGCGTCTACGCCGACGGAGGACGCGGACGAGGCGAGCTGCCTGGCGCTGCGCAGCAGCGCTGCGAGCAGACCGGATCGCAGCAGCCCCGCGAGCAGGCTGGAAGCTTTGCGGGCTTTCGAGGCGTCCGTGGACAAGGTGATCCAGGAGGCCTTCGCAAACGTCACTGGCCTCGGCTCGCAGCTGGCGCGTCCTGTGTTTGCGGACCCGTCGTGGATTGTATGCGCCAGCGAGAGCTGGGACGATGTCGAGTCCAACGGGTCAGGAGCTGATGAGATGAACAAACTGCTGAACATCTTAGCCTGCGACGCAGAGTACGCCGACGATCCCACTTGCCACGCACTCGTCGCCATCTACAAGGCCTCGGTTATGCTCACAGACACGTTTCCAGAGGGGCCCAAATTCGCCAACTACCTCGTGACCAATTGGGGCGACTACCCGTCCTGGGAGGAGGGGGCCGTGACGAACGTCGTTCAAGAGAGCATGCCTCCGTCGGCTAAGATCATCAGGGGGAACGGCTTGGTCATGTATGGAGTTTGCGAGGCTGTCCGCTCCGTACTTCTAGAGAGTCCGAACCAGGTGGGCACTGGCACTTGTGGCTGGATCTCCTCCCTGGGCATGCTCGCCGTTAAAGCGCCTGCGAAGGCGCTCAAGATGGCGCTGCGGCTCACCTGGACTGGCAGAGCCACGCCCCAGCTGAGCTTTCCTTGCGACTACGTCCTCAGTGACCAGTTCCCTGGTCTGGTTCCATACCAAGATGACGGAGTATGGCGTCCGAAACAGGCGGTCGATTTCAATTTGAACTACTCCAGCACTTGCGGGGGCAACCCGGCAGATTGCCTAGCAGCGTCTGGCAACCCTTTGAACCCCTTCGGGTTGGCGGGGATGTGGATCCAGTCGTTGATCAGTGGGTACCTCCAGGATTCCCTTGAACAGGATTGCACCAACTCTTTGCCAGGGATGTTCTACCCCGGCGAGAGTCCTGAGGAGCATGCCCTCGTGAAGGGTCCCCAGGGCCAAATGGATCCCGAGACCATGTGGATGTGCAATGCTGTTATCGACCCTGTTGGCAAGGGTTGCACCCAACTCTTCAACCCGCAGGCGGCTTGTGCGAGTGTCGACGACGATACCTGCAGGGATCTTGCGATCCGCAACCCGAAGATCCATCCCGAAGACCCAATGTCCCAGCAGGCACAGTTTATTTAAACAATATTGGCTATCCCATCGTTCACAGAGGATATGCTCTACGATGCTTGCGCCTCCGAGGCTGCATTGTTGGGCATCGACGCGGGGTCACTTAATGGTGGAAGCCCCGGAGGCACGTGCAACCACCAAGTGGCTCTCATAGCTTGCGACCATGACGCAGACAACTACACAATCTGGACCTGGGGGATGAGGAAGTACCTGACGAGGGCAGACATCTTCGAGCCTCGTTATTCGTTGCAGGATGCCGCCCAGAAGCTAGGGCTGTCCGAGGAACGCCTGGCGAACTACACGAGCAACGCCAGCGTGTTCGGCGGCATGTTTTGCACGGCGATCCTCTCGGACGATATCACGTTTGCGACGCTGTGAGGCAGGCGTCGCCGCGGCATGGGTCCGCAATTTTTGGAGCCCTGGCGGCCATGTCCTTAGCTGCCCTTTCCCAGTGCTTCTCAGAAGAGGACAAGGCACCCTTGCCGCTGCCCTTCTCTCGTTTTGACCTCTGCCAGCCTCCTGGTACGTCTTCGTCGCCGCCGCTGGATTCGCCCTGAAATTTTTGCCAGAGCGCACCCCGGGAGAGGTCCGGGGAGTAGCTGTATCGACGACGACGAAAAACACGACCACGACGACGACGACGACGACGACGACGACGACGACGACGACGACGACGACGACGACGACGACGACGACGGCGGCGGCGGCGGCGGCGGCGGCGGTTGCGGCACCGGTTGGTCTCCCCAGCCTCGAGCTGGGGGGCCCCAACCGCCGCGGGCCACTGCCTCCCTCCGCAGCGCCGGCGTGTCCACCGCTCTCCAGGCTCCGCTCCGCCGCTCCGCCACACCCCCAGGAGCGTGGGAAGGGGAGGCCCTGCTCCATCCTTCTCCATCCTCCTCCTCCCTCCTCCTCCTCCTCCTCCTCCTCCTCCTCCTCCTCTTCCTCCTCCCTTCTCCTCCTCCTCCTCCTCCTCCTCCTCCTCCCTCCTCATCCTCCTCCTCCTCCTCCACCTCCACCTCCACCCTCCTCCCCTCCTCCCTCCCTCCTCATCATCATTCTTCTCCTCCTCCTCATCCTTCTCCCCCTCCTCCTCTTCCTCCTCCTCCCTCCTCCTCCTCCTCCTCCCTCCTCCAAGTCCCTCCTCCTTCTCCTCCTCCTCCCCCTCCTCTCTCCTCCTCCTCCTCCTTCCTCCTCCTCCTCCTCCTTCTCCTCCTCTCCTCCCTCCTCCTCCTCCTCCCTCTTCCTCCTTCCTCCTCCTCCGCCTCCTCCTCCTCCTCCTCCTCCTCCTCCCTCCTCCTCCTCCCTCCCCTCCTCCCTCCCTCCCTCCCTCCCTCCCTCCCCCTCCCTCCCTCCCTCCCCCCCTCCCTCCCTCCCTCCCTCCCCCTCCCCCCCTCCTCCCTCCTCCTTCCCCTCCTCCCTCCTCCTCCTCCTCCTCCTCCTCCTCCACGTCCCTCCTCCTCCTCCTTCCTCCCTCCTCCTCCTCCCTCCTCCCCTCCTCCTCCTCCTTCTCCTCCTCTCCTCCTCCTCCTCCTCCTCCCTCTTCCTCCTTCCTCCTCCTCCTCCTCCTCCTCCTCCTCCTCCTCACTCCTCCTCCTCCTCCTCCTCCTCCTCCTCCTCCTCCCCCTCCCACTTCCTCCCTCCCTCCCTCCCTCCCTCCCTCCTCCTCCCTCCCTCCTCTCCTCCTCCTTCCTCCTCCTCCGCCTTCCTCTCTCTCCTCCACCTCCGCCTCCTCCTCCTCCTCCTCCTCCTCCTCCTCCCTCCTCCTCCTCCTCCTCCTCCTCCTCCTCCTCCTCCTCCTCCTCCTATGGAGGAATAGTGAAGGGAACCGGGAAACGGGAACCCGGAACCCGGAACCCGGGAACCGGGAACCGGGGACGGGGAACCGGGAACCGGGAACCGGGAACGGGAAACTGAACCCCTGGGCCACCCCTCCTTGGGACCCCCCCTCCGTCCAGGCTTCCCAGGCCAGCCCCCCTGGGCCGCGGAACCTTTTATTTTCGTCGTGGCTCGTGGTGGTTCGCCCCCCTCGGCCTCCCCTCCCTTTAGCCTGAGCCCCAGCTACCCTGGGGACCCCCCCGTCCGTCCAGGCTTCCCAGGGCAGCCCCCCTGGGCCGCGGAACCCTTTCTTTCCGTCGTGGTTCGTGGTGGTTCGTCCCCCTCGGCCCCTCCCCCCTGAGCCTGAGCCCCAGCTCCCCTGGGCCACCCACCCTTGGGACAACCCCCTCTGTCCAGGCTTCCCAGGGCAGCCCCCCTGGGCCGCGGAACCTTTTTTGTTTTTCGTCGTGGCTCGTGGTGGTGAGTCCCCCTCGGCCCCTCCCTGAGCCTGAGCCCCAGCTCCCCACCCACCCTTGGGATCCCCCCTCCGTCCAGGCTTCCCAGGGCAGCCCCCCCCTGGGCCGCGGAACCCTTTATTTTTCGTCGTGGCTCGTGGTGGTTCGTCCCCCTCGGCCCCCCCCCTGAGCCTGAGCCCCAGCTCCCCCTAGCCATCCCCCCTTGGGAGCCTCGCTCTGTCCAGGCTTCCCCCTGGGCCACACCCCCTTGGGACCCCCCCTCCGTCCAGGCTTCCCAGGGCAGTCCCCCTGGGCTGCGGAACTCTTTCATTTTCGTCGTGGCTCGTGGTGGTTCGCCCCCTGAGCCTGAGCCCCGGGCCACCCCCCCTTGGGGCCACCCCTCCGTCCAGACTTCCCAGGGCAGACTCCTTGGGCCGCGGAACCCTTTATCATTTTGCAAAGCTGTGCTCTAGAGCTGTGCTCTAGAGCTCGGACATGTTTATTTTCGTCGTGGTTCGTGGTTCGCGGTGGTTCGTTCCCCTTCCCCTGAGCCTGAGCCCCAGCTCCCCTGGGCCACCCCCCCTTGGGATCCCCCCTCCGCCCAGGCTTCCCAGGGCAGCCCCCCCTGGGCCGCGGAACCTTTTTATTTTTCGTCGTGACTCGTGGTGGTTCGTCCCCCTCGTCCCCCCCCTGAGCCTGAGCCCCAGCTCCCCTGAGCCACCCACCCTTGGAGCCTTGCTCCGTCCGGGCTTCCCAGGGCGGCCCCCCTGGGCCGCGGAACCTTTTATTTTTCGTCGTGGCTCGTGGTGGTTCGTCCCCCTCGTCGCCCCCCTCTGAGCCTGAGCCCCGGCTTCCCTGTGCCACCCCCCCTTGGGTTCTCTTGCACAGCTGTGCTCTAGAGCTCGGACATGTTTATTTTCGTCGTGGTTCATGGTTAGTGGTAGTCCGACCCCCTCGGCCCCCCCCCCCTGAGCCTGAGCCCCCCTCCCCTGGGCCACTCCCCATTGGGACCACCCTCGTCCATGCTTCCCAGGGCAGCCCCCCTGGGCCGCGGAACCCTTTGTTTTCGTCGTGGTTCGTGGTGGTTCGTCCCCCTCGGCCCCTCCCCTGAGCCTGAGCCCCAGCTCCCCTGGGCCACTCCCCCTTGGGACCCCCCCTCCGTCCAGGCTTCCCAGGGCAGCCCCCCTGGGCCGCGGAACCCTTTATTTTTGTCGTGGCTCGTGGTGGTTCGCCCCCCCCCCGCCCCCCCCTGAGTCCTGAGCCCCAGCTTCCCTGGGCCGCACAGAGCTGGGAGCCTTCCCCGTCCAGGTGAGTGGGTGCAGCCCCCAAGGGCCGCAGAACCCTTTACTTCCGTCGTGGCTTCGTGGTGTTCGTCCCGCTCGCCCCCCCCCCTCCCCCCTGAGCCTGAACCCCATTTCCCTTAGATGTTTTTGGATTTTGGCGTTGTCCGCGTCTTCCCGCTTTCCCAGCACGCCCTTCACGGTCTCGGAGACCCTTCAGATGCACTCTAAGAAGGCCCATCGAGGCCCCACGAGGGCCCCAAGACGGCCCACGATTGGGGCGAACTGACCGAAGTGTGCCCCAAGAGCGCGCCAAGAGAAGGCCCAGAGGGGTCTCGAGGCGGCCCGGGCCCGCCCCGAAGCAGGCCACGACAGGCTAATGGAGGTCCCGAGAGGGCCCAAGACGGTCCCAAGAGGTTCCGAAGACGCCCAAGCTGCCCTCAAGACGGCCGACGAGGACTCCAATACGCTCCAGGACGGACTCAAGAGGCTCCCCAAGAAGGCCCTGGAAGGCAAGATTCACTCATTTTCCAATGGGGTTTTTGAAGGATTTTGGCTTTCTCGCTTTCCCCGCTTCCCAGCGCTCCCTCACGGCCTCGCTCGGAGGCCCTTCAAATCGCTCCAAGACGGGCCACGAGGCCCCGAAGAGGGCCCCAAGACGGCCCAGGAGGCTCCCCAGACAACCCAACTATGCCCGAAGAGCTCCCCAAGAGAGGGCCCAGAGGGGGACCGCCAACAGATATTTCGAGGTCTCTGGCCCTAGAGGTCGCCTGTAGGCCCCCGGAGGCCACCAAGAGGCTCCCACGAAGCCCTGTGAGGCGCTTAAGAGGCCCCCAGGAAGCCCCAAGATACCCCCAGGGGGCTCCCAGGGAACGCTCAAGAGGCCTCCCAACACAGCCCAAGAAATCATGTCCCCAGAAAACCTTCCGGGGACATGGTTCATCATGGGCCCGAGAGTTCCCGGAGGCCCCCAAGGGGCCCCCAGGGAACGCCCAAGAGACCCCCCAACACACCCCAACAAACCATGTCCTCAGAAAGCCTTCTGGGGACATGGTTCATCATGGGCCCGCGAGTCTAGTAAGTATATCTGCAAGCATTCTCATTAAGATTCAGGTGAGAATCCAGTTGTAGAATTCTGCTGTTCTAGCAGTCGCAGTCGCATTCGCAATGACAGTCGCAGTGCCCTTAGGATCCAATGGAATCCTAAGGATTCCTAGGGATTCCTAAGGCATCCTTTGGCATCCTTAGGAATCCATAGGAAACCTTTGGAATCCTTAGGAATCCTGATTCCTAGGGATTCCGACGGATTCCTGAGGATTCCTAGGGAATCCTAAGGATTCCGAAGGATTCGCTTGCCTCGGCCTCAGCCTCAGCCTGCCTCAGCCTCAGCCTGCCTCAGCCTGCCTCAGCCTCAGCCTCAGCCTGTCTCAGCCTCAGCCTGCCTCAGCATCAGCCTCAGCATCAGCCTCAGCCTGCCTCGGCTTGCCTCGGCCTCAGCCTCAGCCTGCCTCAGCCTCAGCCTCAGCCTGCCCCAGCCTCAGCCTCAGCCTGCCTCAGCCTCAGCCTGCATCAGCCTCAGCCTGTATCAGCCTCAGCCTGCCTCAGCCTCAGCCTCTGCCTGCCTCGGCCTCAGCCTCAGCCTGCCTCAGCTTCAGCCTGCATCAGCCTCAGCCTCAGCCTGCCCCAGCCGCAGCTTACCTCAGCCTCAGCCTCAGCCTCAGCCTCAGCCTCTTGGGCTTCATGCTCACTTGCAGCCTCGCCCTGTCCGCCCTCTGCTTGCCTCCACCTCACCTCGCCCCAGCCGGCCTCAGCCTCAGCCTCAGCCTCA